AATTCTGGCTGTTCTTCTGCCGTCTCCGAAACAGTAACTGTTTCTTTCTCTGTGACAATAACATCTTCCTCAGGTTCCAATGTTTCCACCTCAACTGTTTCTGTGTCAGTAACTTCCTCAATCTCTGTTACAGTTTTTGTGACTTCTGTTCTGGTTTTTGGTTGAGTGATGTCAATATCGACAACAACTTCCTCTGGTTTGGGCTGTTTCTCGATTTCCTCAATGAATTCTGGCTGTTCTTCTGCCGTCTCCGAAACAGTAACGGTTTCTTTCTCTGTGACAATAACATCTTCCTCAGGTTCCAATGTTTCCACCTCAACTGTCTCTGTGTCAGTAACTTCCTCAATCTCGGTAACAGTTTTTGTGACTTCAGTCCTGGTTTTTGGTTGAGTGATGTCAATATCGACAACAACTTCCTCTGGTTTGGGCTGTTTCTCAATTTCCTCAATGAACTCCGGCTGTTCTTCCGCTGTTTCTGAAACAGTAACTGTTTCTTTCTCTGTCACGATAACATCTTCCTCAGATTCCAATGTTTCGACCTCAACTGTTTCAGTGTCTGTTACTTCTTCGATCTCGGTAACAGTTTTTGTGATTTCTGTTTTGGTCTGTTGGGGTGTGATTTCGATATCAACAACAACCTCTTCTGGTTTTGGCTTTTTCTCAATTTCCTCAGTGTATGTTGGTTGCACTTCGGCAGTTTCAGATACTGTCAAAGTTTCTCTCTCCGTAACATTTACATCTTCTTCAGGTGCAATTGTTTCTACCTCGACTTTCTCAGTGTCGGTAACCTCCTCGATCTCCGTAACAGTTTTAGTGATCTCTGTCTTTGATTTTGGCTGAGTGATGTCAATATCAACAATAAGTTCCTCTGGTTTCGGCTGTTTCTCTAGTTCTTGAATGAACCTAGGTTTGTCCTCAGCAGTTTCCGTCACTGAGAGAGTTTCTCGCTCAGTAACTATGACTTCCTCCTCTGGAGCTATTGTTTCTACTTCCACAACCTCTGTATCCGTGGCTCCTGTTGTCTCGGTAACAGTTTTCGTAACCTGAGTTTTGGTTTGAGGCTTAATGTCGACATCAATAACAATTTCTTCTGTATCAGGAATTTTTTCAATTTCAACAGTTTCCTTGAAGGTTTGAACATCATCTGGCTTCCTGTCAATCTCAAGAACCTCTCTGAACTTTGCATCATCGGTGACATCCTCATCTTCAGGTTCTTCTTCAACGGAAATTGCTTCCTGAAAGGTTTCTTCATCTATGGTTTCCTTTTCTGTAGTTTTCGTAGATTTAACCGACTCAAGAATGTCATGAACAACTCCAGCCACGAAATCTTCCAGGTCTGGACCAATGTTTTTGTGTAGCTCTGCTTTCTCGTGAGGTATTTCTGATTCAGGTTTTTCTAAAATATCTTCAGGGACTGAAGGTTGCACTTCTTCAGTCACCTGATCTGGAATAGTGATTTCTGATTGGGCCACAGGACGTGTTTCGTCCTCAGACAAATCTTCGCTCTCCGGTTGATCGTCATCGGCGACTGGTGTTGACAAAATATCCAATTACGTAAAAAAAATATTCTAAGCGCAGTTTGTACTTACCATTCATACACACTCTCTTACTTATAAAGCAAGACATATCAATATATAAACTGACTTCATGGTTAACACAATGAAGACTGTTTAATCCTCATCCTCGTGTGAAAGAAAGACGTATTGTAGGGAGGAGGTATGTTGTGTGTAGTTTAGTTACAATATCTATAGCCACATGCAAAAATATGTACAACAGTTCAGCCTTATACAATATTGGCAGATAACAGAATAAATATATAAAATCCGGTCCTGGTTTCCACAATGTTTCAAAGCTTAAATTCAGATTCTAACGCAACTGATATAAAAGCAGTGTTTTTCTTATGGGGAAATTTAAGCTAAGAAAAAACATTCAGTTGAAACATTTCATGAAACCAAGACGGGAAAATTAAACAAACCATCATTGTTACCTATATAAAAATATATATCAATTGATAAATAACATAAACAAATCTAAACAAAATTCTAAACATACATATTTTAGAAACAACTTCATTTTTGTGGTAATATTGTCTTAGTGATAATTTATCTTTGCTATTTATTTAACAATTTCTCATGTGATATCCAAAAGAAACAATGTCAATGAACCAAATCTTTCAATATTGGCTAAGGTGCTACATGTATCATTTCTGAAGATAAGCCAGGGATACTATTATATACCATTACTACACTAATAAATGTATGTTTATTGTATATTTATATACAACAGAAATTATACCATTCATAAGATTCTACAGAACTTAAAAATTCCTCAAATTTAACTGTTCAGCTACACCTGTGTACAGTAAAACCTTGAAAGGAAATTCCCTTAAATAAACTATTTACTTCCTCCATTACCACCAACATATTAAAAGGGTCCATTTTTCTTTTTTCTAATATCACTCTAAATCATTAATAACACCAAAACTGTCTGGAGAAACAATTGTGGTACAACAAAAGATTTTTCTGTACACTACGACATCATTCAGTCTGATCTATAAAAAGAAATTTTCTACTTGGGGAAAAAAAATCATTCTTAAGGATGTATGCTACCTTACTGAAACAAGGTGTTTTTTTTCCCAAAAGAGCTCCACATTAGAGAAACAAGTCGGTATCTTTCATGAATATTAGTCCAACTTTTATCACTCTTTAAGACGCCGTACCACAACATGAATATGTACATTTCTACATCTGAAGACATTCTGAAGGAGCAGATTATCGTTATCAATTTGCAAAGGGAGATAACTCCAACAAAAATTACAGGCATAATTTGTATGGCAGCATATACCCTTAAACTGAATTAGTTTACCATATTAAACAGTTAGGACTGATATCTTGAGCAAACAGATAAGCCTTAATGCTTCATTTTACAATATTGAAAGCATTGAATGAACTTAAAAATAAAATGTTACAGAAATGTAAAACATGCTCTTTACACAAAAACTGAAGCATAACATAGGTACAAATCTTCCTTTATTTGACTGCCTTTGTTTTACCGTTTAAAATCAGCAAAATTGCTTATATCTTGACTTTTGCTCGAATTAATTCATTGCATATATATTTTATCAAATAGGGGTTCATTGTAAGACCATTTTAGCTTTTTCTTTATTTCTCAGCTATGAAAAAATCAAAAAGTTGAAAAGAATGAATTGCTTTGTGTGGAAAAAAAAGTTTTTATTAATGATCAAATTATGGCTGAATTGATTTTTGAAAGTGTCCCTGGTTTTAACACCAATAAGAACGGCGATCCTAATATTTATTGAAGTTTCTAAGTATTATACTTTATCTTTAATCTGACTGGAAAAACAATTTATAATATCAATTGATGAAGACAAAATTTAATAGTTTAAAAAAAAAAAAATTGCCAACAAACCATTGTTAAATGAAGATCTCAATTCCCTCAAAGTTTAAATGATATATGGTTAAAAGACCTGCATACTACCACTGGTACATATAACTTAATGATAGTATCACATTGCACAAATCAATGTAAAAGAAATGTACATTGTATATGTACAAAACTACGATAACAAAATTATCAATAAACAAAAAGCAAGCTATGTTTTTTACAACAACAACAAAAAATCAATATATATATAACAAAGTATAAATTTGACAATCATTCTTTCACTAAAGCATGTAGATTTCAGCACAAATCATAATATATAGAAACTGTTTTCGGCAAATCCTGTTTAAACCTAAGCTGCAATCAACACAGATGTGTTAAAGAGCCATATCTAGTTGGCTGCATGTTCACGACAATCTCCGACAATCTGACAAACACAAACACAGTGCAGCATGCATGGTTAGGAGTGTAGCATGCTGACAGTGGACATGTGGTGCGAGGAAGGTTGTACAGCTTGTAACACACCTTCAGAAGTTGTGCTTCACACAGGATCTTGGAGTTCAAAACACAAATCTCCATGGAAGGACTCCACACGGAAACCAGGGACTAATACTACTACAGGAAAACACTTGGAACAACCACACTTCACACAGAGTGTGGAAGCACGGAGCACACAGCTTTAGAAGTTCAAACATGTAGTGAAATCTAATATACTACAAGGGAACACACTTGAAGCAGTGGCACTTGATCCACACACTTTTGGAAGTGGTACTTCACACAGGGAGAGAAGTGGTAACACACTCTACACACACACACACACACACACACACACAACGACATAACACAGAGGAGTGCTTCTAAAGTCCATACACACACAGACTCATAAACGTGACTTAGAATTTCATTGAAGCGTTGTTCATTAGATTGCAATTTCCTCCCATTGAAACATAACCCAGAAAAGTCGGAAAGAGTTTATCTGATCTTGATTTTAAATGTATCCAGCCCATGGTAGCAACATATAGGGGACTACGTTAGAAAACCACTACTTCACACAGAAAAAAACAAAAACAACTACAAACATCTACACGGAAGATTTAAGACACAATATAGAAGCGACTAGACCAGAGGACAACAGACAACACTTAGTTAGATGACTAGTGTAGGTATTTGTGTGGGAAAATCACTCACTTCTCCATGCGCTCACATAAAATAGTTCGACCGCTGTAACCTCACACATCACGAAACAAATAGTTCCTCTCCTGTACTGTCACGCAATACATAAACATACGCACCGAAATCTGACTTTCACCGTTTTATCGTTATTTATCAATACGTTTTTATTAACTTTCTAGCAAGAATATTGATCTGAAACATTAATTATTAAAATAGTAATAACATAATATTTATTTAAAAAATTTCCCCACCCATTAAACGTCAAAATTTTTCAAACTTACATTCAAATTTTTTTCAATTCTCTCATTTCACTGGACATACATCAGTGCAGGATGGGTACACGTCATATCACACAAAAGTTCAAAGGTCATCAATACACAAATTTAACTCAAGAATGTGAAAGTAAAGATGCGATAAAGACTTACCGGTAAGCTTCAGTACAGCAGTGGTCATGGCAGTGCCAAATTCGTTCACTGCCTGGCAACTGTATTCACCCTCGTCCTCTTTGAATGATTCCTCGATGGTGAGAGTGCAGGTACCGTCCTGTCGGTACTCCGTAATATAGGTTTCCGAATCCTCGATTTTCTCACCGTCCAAAAGCCATGTGACCTTTGGCCTTGGAATACCGATAACAATGCAGATAAATTTGACCGATGCACTCTCGGTAACGGTAATGTTACTGAGCTCGGTCGTGAATCGCGGTGCTTCCCCTGTGGGTTTCGTAGGTGTAGCCTCTTCCTCAATTACTTCTTCCACCACATCGGGTGCTGTCTCCACGACAGGAACTTCCTCCTTGGGCAGTAGCAGTTCCTTGACGGTAACCTCTTCAGGCATGACCTCTTCTGGCTGAGTCTCCAGTCCAATCTCCATCCTCGTCTCTGTGGTAACCACCTCAGAGACTTCCTGAACTGCCGCCGTCAGAGGAACATCCTGCTGTTCAGGAAGGGCTACTATAGACTCTGTTGTGACCTCCTCGGGAGTGGCCTTCGCCTTCTCCCGTGTCACAAACTCGAAAGAAACTTCCTCCGTCTCCGTGGGACTTATGCCACCCACGGCAATCTCCAGGGAGGTGGCCTCCGTGGTTTCTGGAGCCACCGTCTCCTGGATAGTAGGTAGACCCTCCACAGTCTCCACGGTCTCCTCGGTAACGGGAATGACCTTCTCCTCCTCCTCGTCAACATGAGGGGCCATTTCTGAGAAATAAAATGTACATATACATGAACAGAAAGACCTAAATCATTTTTGTCACCAAAGCATTCTGAAGCATAGAAAAATTGGAGGAAAATTCATAATAAAAACCTTTTCCTATCTTGACAGATACCTGTGCACTGTGCAGTGCTGATCCTGTGCCTGACATATCAAAGTAAAAAGAATATATAATAATAATATGTATCAATAATAAGAAGTATTCTTCACAAGATATCTATGAAATATACGATGATTATAATGAAAGGTATACTTTTTATGATGACATCCAGCATTGAAAACTCTAAAACAAAATTTGTTTTCAAAAAAGAAATTCTGAATGAAGCATATTGTCCTTGGTCTTTCATCCTGAACATGATTCTGTTAATAATTCAAATTCTACTTCGCGGCATCAAGACTGAAACGTAAAATATATCAAGGAGCTTTTTTCTACAGGAATCGTGGAAATTCTGTAATCGTTGTTAAGTGATCTAATTATGATATCGGAAAGATGATGGTATGAGTAATGGAATGCTTTTTCGATGGAAGCTTGGTGGTGATTATTCCGCTGTCAAGTAGGTGTAATGGAGATCCCGGTATAACGGATGTTTCGTGCCGATGGTGAAACGGTTCTTCCATCTCCTCCAGAAACATCTTGTTGTACGTTCGTCTTCCGATCTTGTTTGATGTGTTTTTTATCTGGTATATATTCTAGTGTGATGAAATATGCTGTGATATCTTAGTGTCACAATTTGAGATTTAATAGCCGGTAAAAATGATATGTATTTTTGTGAAAAAATTGTATCTGTTCAAAATATTTCAGAAATTCAGATTATTTTCTTTTTCTTATTCATATTGTGACATTTGAGGATTTATTATTCGGTTATACAGAAAATTCAGATTTTGTTTTAATTTAGGTGTAAAATAAAAATAAATCAAATTCATATATGACATTTAAGGCCTCAACTCTCTCATTAAAATAACATTATTGTATATTAGTATATGGAGCAGAGTAAAATTACAAAATATATATACAGATCCATATCTATATCTATTATTCAAATTTATTGATTTATCCTCAGATATACTGTTTACAATAAATACAGAATATGATTAAATAATTTTTCTCCCCATTTGCACTATCTTCATCTCCGTCAATAATGACTACTGTGTAACTTTCTTAAATAAAACAGTATTTCTTTGACAAGTTTGAGGAATGAAGCCTTCATGATCTTACTGACAATGCTAGAGTTTGATTCTGTGGACTTAATTAAAATGTAATTTATAAAGGAGATTTCTGAATTGAATAAAAAATGAGAACAATCTTTTTTAACTGAAACTGTCAGTTTAGCATGAGAAATACTTAAGGTTAATGAGTTTTACTAGGTTGAGAAGGGATTTGTTTTTCCTGAAGTCAGATTATCAAATTGTCTCGCCCTACATGGATACACCATTGAAGGGAAGCCACAGATCACGCCCTGTACTTGTATTTTCCTGTCAGATGTTCCAAAAGATCGGCACAGTAACATTTATTAACGAACAGACTAATCAACCTTTCCTGTCTTTAAAATCTTCCGAGGCTAGGTTCAAGAAAATCATAAATCGAAAAGAAAAAAAAATCTATGTTATATGTTCTGTCATTATGGTAATATTTTATTGTAATGCTGATTTTTTTTTTTTTTTTTTTTCAGAGCCAGTGTTGATGCATTGTGTAAACTAAGATAACTCCTCTTCTTTCTTCACGGAAACAGCAGTTCACACCTTACGCCAATCAATTCGAAACCAATGCTAGCTTCCAATTTTCCCTTGTTTTCAAATTTCAATGGCTATCTGAGATGAAATTCTCAGAATATGACTAAGCCCATGTTTATCCCATAGATTGACAATTCTTTGAAAAACTTTTTATTTTTATTTTTTTATTTTTTAAAAAGAAATTTAATTAGTAAGAATTACCTAAGGTAGAACAACAATTATCAAATTAATAGTATTGATAAAGTATTCAAAGACAAATAAATATATAAAAATAAATTAGAAAAAGTTTTTCTTCAAGATGAATTAGTTTCATTATCAATTACATTGAAAGAATGCAGATTTCAAATTCATTGGTAAGTTAGGAGTTGTCTCCCCTCATCTTCTGTTTCTTCATTTCTTCAGGGTCCATAAATGCTCCTCCATTCGGTAATAATATTTCTCTCTCAGTCAGTCAAAGTAACCAGTATATCCGTAGATGAGGAAAGACCTTACCATTAGAACTCAGTCATACCACACACAGAAAATTTGATATATTAAAAGATATCTGAATTAATCAAATTTCATGAAATTCAGAAATGTTAATTTCAAATAATGGACAAATTTTCATTTGATCAATATTCTTTTTGAAGTGTTATCTTAATTTAAGGAATTATAGAACTGAATAAACATTTTCTTTAGTTACAGATATGATTTTTCTAGAATTTTATTAATGAAAGGGTAGAATGTTTGAGTGGACCCCTTGACCATTTCGGCTTGATTTTTAAACTTGACGGATAAGTTGCTATAGTGATTTTGTGGTATCATGGGTACACATCCATGTTGCCTAGCAACAAGGACTAATGGCAGTTGACTTTCAGTCATCTTGTGATAGAACTGGAAACTGTCTTGTATCAAAGGTCGTCAGAGGTCATCATACGAATGCTTATCTCTGCTCTGCTGAATACACAAACCTCAATTAAAAAGACCATTAAGGAATTATAATTATGGTCCTTGAGTTTTTGTTTGAAAAAAATCTGCAAATTTGATGATTTATTCTATGTAATTTTGAAAATGTTCTTTTTGAAAACATTTCTGTACGATTATGTGAAATTTGCCTGTCTGATTGGATAGCTCCTACCTTGCACTGCAGGTTGTCACGGTGACAAGTGTCAAATTTAGACCCACTTGTGATTGGATGATGATTATCCAGAGGCATGCAGAAAATGGCGGCAGCTTGTTTGGAAGGGGAGGCAATCCATGCTAAAAATAAACTACATTTACATGCACAAAAAACAACAAATCATTCGTGAGATATGAAATTAAACCTGCATGGCTGTAGTTAATGTTACAAGATTAAACGATAAACCCAAAATATCATCTCTATTACCAAATCTATTGTCTAAATTAATTAAAAAAGTACCAAGTTGGTAATTTTCATTTCCGTGTTGTTGTCTTTTTTAGTACATACTATCAAATGCTTCTTCCCCCAATGATCTGGATGTTATTTTGATAAAATTTGGGTTTATCTGAAAAAATTAACTGCCATCCATAACTTGAATGTGTTTTATTATCAAAGCTGATCGTTTTCTTAGTATCATTATAATTGAAAAATGTGAGATTTTTCGCTTAATGTAAGCTACTTTCAACAAATGTTAATAATAAGGAAGTTATTAAAACAAATTTTAGTTATGGATGTACAGATATTTTCTAGGTTGATTTGTTAGATTTAATGTTTTGTTTTCTTCCTTTATTCATGAAGTGACAAGATTCAGTCATCGATTGAACTAAAAGTTTAGATCATCATTGGTAATGAATTTGAAAAAAAATATTTTTAAAAAATAATGAATTTTGAATATTTGTTTCCTGAAAATTTTATTTCAAGAAATGTTTCAATCATTGTTAAATATAGCGTGCTTTTTTTTCAAATTTGAAGACAAATATGAAATAAAACTTGAATGTATATGATTAGTTTATATTTTTAAAACAAACTGAAATACATGGAAATAAAGAAAATAAGTATACTTGGCATCTGAAAATTTAAAGAGAAAAGTTTTTAATTTACTAGCTGTATATAACAATTAAAAAAAAAAGTGAAGGAATTATGACAATGTTAAACATAGATTTCCAGTATATGTTGACCTTTATTATTTTTCCTAGAAAAACAAATATAAATAAAATTTAGCATTTTACAACAATAGTTAATACAATGACAACACAAAGGATGTTTACAAACACAACATAAACATCACAACAATACAATGGCTAAAACATCCAGAAACATTACGTTTCCGTAGCAGCAAGCAGGTGAGCGTAATCTACATCAAAACGTTTCTTTGATCTATTTGGTTGCTATTTATTACAACGATGATTTTTTTTGAACAAAATATGTATGAAAACATTAAACACAACAACAAACTACTTTTTCATCAACTGTTCGTTAAAAAAATAAAAATAAAAAAAAAATATTTTAGAAAATCAAATGGGGAGAATTAGAATATTGTACAATACTTAAGATAGACTAAATTACAAAAAAATTACTTTTTCTGTCAGGAAGGAAGTGCTGATGTTATACTCATTTGGTGATGTGAAAAAATTGTTACCACATTCTTACTATAAATAGCCATGCAAATGATCTCAAATTAAGCATGTTTCCATAGCAACATGCATAAATGAATACAATGGACACCGTAATATGAATATTCATATTTTATTTGGTCCTTCATAAAAATCAAGATCTTTTCAAAATAGTTTTTATGTTCTAATACTCATTTCGTTCTCATACAGATATAGTCATACATCTAAGTCAGGTAGATATATAAACTAATTTCTGGTAACCATGGGAACAAGTCCCTTTAAATTATCACATTCATATTGTAATATAGCTCCGCCCACCTGCTGCAGATACAAAGGCAATCCATAACAGCCACTATTCAAAACATCATTAAAAAAAATCACTACTTATCTGAAAGGCTAAGGAAATATACCAAGATTTGGTAAGGGCAGAAAACGTGTGCGTATAAAGATAAACTCATCCACCCCTGAAAATACATTTGGACTCTTCCAATTCAAAGTATGGAATAGTTCATTATGACATTTCAGGGGTGAGTAAGTTAAGAGGTCATTGTGAAAATATCCCTGAGATATTATCTAAATAAAAGGATAAAAAATAGTCTTGTAAAATGACAACATGACGGGAAAAATTATTGAAAATAATATCCAATATCTGAACACTAAATATAGCTTTAACAAAATATTGGGTTCAAATAATATTAGAACC